GAAGCAAAGTGGCGCCACTTTTAAGCACTTCTGCGGCGGATCTGTTGTCAACCAGCGATGGATACTGACGGCCGGCCACTGTTTCAATGGGTTCGCGAATCGTCGCCCAAACCATACGTATATCATATATCACACCATTTTGTGTCCAATCCGTAGACTCAAGCATTCATACAAGAAGGTCAGAGCGAAAGTAGGCGCAACCCATTGGGACACCGACGCCGGCGCTGTCTACGAGTTGGCCAAAGTGGTCGTCCACGAGAACTACCAGTCCTTCAACTACAACAACGACATAGCGCTCATTAAACTCAAACAGCCGGTTAAGTTCAAGAGCGAGGGCGAGCACCGTCTGGTGAACACCATGTGTATGCCCTCACCCGGCAGCCAACCGCCCACGCGGGCCAGTGTCTACGGGTGGGGCCTACTGAGCACGTACGGGTCGATCAGCTCGCAGCTCATGAAAGTAATACTCGACAAATACGACACATCCGACTGTAACGACGTTTACCACCAATTTGTGGGCAAATTCACGCCTCAAATGATGTGCTACGCGATGGCCGGTAAAGACGCCTGTCAGGTGTGACCACCAGTTCCTCCTATGGCTTATAATTTGAGTGCTCTTTCCCGTGACTTTAGGGCGACTCCGGCGGAGCCCTGTCCACCAATATTGATGGGTTTGTATGGCGCTGTTGTTAATCGTTATAATTAGATGTAAAAGTAATTTAAAGTTTTTTTTGTATAATAGGAAAGAGATTCAGTTCGGTATCGTGTCGTTCGGCCAGGGATGTAGTCTGGAGAACCACCCCGGGATATACACCAATGTCGTACTGTATATGGACTGGATTAATAAGATTATTACCAGTGATAAACAGGTTTAACACAATCGCTTAACACATAAATTCAATAAATACTGTATTATTGGATCGATATTTTGTTTTATTAGAAAATATAATCCATTTATTAATTTAATTTAGAATATATTGCGCTGAATATCAATTAGCATGGTCAGATAATTCGGGCAAATACCATAGGCTCGATAGTTAATCAGTCTTGACAACGGTGTCATCATTTCTATGATCCTTAGCCACCCCTTGGTTAGCCTTTTGGTCGATACCCGGGACCAACTGGTGCTTCTCCTGCTTCTCCTTATCGAAACCGGCCTCAAAGGGCGTACTATCGTGTCGTTCAACGCCACCCTTCGTAACATCCATACGATTGTCTTCACCCACTGTAGTGGTCGTCGGATTAGTTACCGGCGCCGCCGATGCGCTCAGTGTTGTCAACAAATCAGCGATGGCTTTATGGGTAGGCGTTAAGTCGAGTTCGTATATCCTGGTAGTCCGGCCGCCATCGCTGTTCTCGTCGTATTCAACGCACACTAGTTTCGCGTTGTCTTTGTTTAGCAGTTGAGGGGCCGGTGTGGGGGGCGGAGGGGTAGTAGTGGTCACTGTTTGTCGGTTTCTGTTTTTATTGCCAGAGAATAAGTTTTGTATAAACTTTCCCACCCTTTGAAAGAAGTTTCCGATTTGTGCTGAAAGTATAGACACAAAAAAATACAAATTATTTTTCGATATAAAAGTTACTTAAACTTAGATTTCAGATATCAAAGTGGAAATGGAGTTAAAAAGTGTAATCCTTAAAATTGATAATTATATCAATGGCTTTAAGGTAATGATAGTGGAGGGGAGGGGGTTAGGAGGTCTGGGGAGAGGGTTATAATTGTATGAATTAATCTCAAACCGAAGACATTTTGCCACCAATTGGCAAACTTTTGCCAGAAGTCGCGTCTGTCCTGATCATTGAGATATCGACTCGAGATCTTGTACTTGTCGTACACATCCTGAGGCATAGCCTCGGGTTTT